CTTTTTAGCTGTAAAATGTCAAACCATTTCAATAGGGCAGAGAACAGTCGAGGTTTGGCAGTTGCGAATTATCTCGCAATCTATAAATTGTTAAAAAATGGTCCAGTTATATACTTACTATATTTTTATTAATATTGAACAAGTGACCGCATATATACTTCCGTCATCAAGTTTTGACTTTCCATACTCATTCAATTATGTATTAAAATAAACCACCGTTCGCCGCGCAAAAACCTTCGCGGCCGGTCGTTGACATCGAGGGGCACTTTAGGGCTGACTCGTCACACTCCGCCAACACCGCGCCTTATAATAATACTTAACAAAGTATTTATTTTTACCGACAGTGACACGTTTAAATTATGATTTTAATGAAATATGCATAATTAAAAACCCATTTCCTTAACAAATAATAAAAATAATGAAATAAGTGTTGCAAGGATTAGTGAAACTTAACGTTTTCACACAATTTCCTTGTATTTTATTCGAATTTACAATTACAAAGTTTCCACAGGGTTATAATACACACGTTACCGACCCGTTGTCGGGTTTTTTGGAGTGGTGATAACATTTAACAGGTTGACGGTCCGTTGGAAACAGCGTCGGAAACGACAAAGCAGGCGTATGATATGTAAGCGAGACTAAATCCAATTAAAATGCAAATGATTGTCGGTGCGCAATGAAATCGTGGCCCGCAAATATAATGGGTCGAGTGTGAGTGTAGCGTCGACAGTGGAGAAATCTTACCCATTTGCATCGGGTACTTGAATACCCACACAATGTTCGGTTGCCCACGCGTTGTCCTCCGAGCTCGCCTACCGCGGACAATCGGCGTATTGAACTTTGTTAATAACAACATATTTGCATAATACTAATCAACAGTCGTGTGAGTAGCCGATATATGTATGTATGTAATTCACAATATTAGTACTGATAAATATATCAACAGTGTCTTAAATAAGAAATGAATAAGTAATCGAATTTGTGAAACCAGCAGCTACTTGTTGTAGTTTAACATTAGTTCATTCATTTGACAGATGAAATACTTATTATCATCAGCATCTTCCATATTTACGTCAGGAATTAATGGAGCTAAATAATGAAAATAAAATATTTATTCCTTAGTACGTTTACGTGATAGTAACCATCACCCTCGCTTCGCTCGGGTTAGCCTCTAGGTACGTTTTAACGGTTAGTATAGAATAGACTATATTTTATATGATACTAGAGACTCACCCTCGCTTCACTCGGGTTCGTCCCTAGCTTGCTTCCTAATACAAATTTTCATCCTCATTTTCACCCCCCTTAAAGGATTATTTCCGAGATAAAAAGTATCCTATGTCCTTCACAGGGTCTCAAACTATATTCTTACTAAATTTCATCTAAATCAGTTCAGTAGATACAGAGATTACAACGTCACATACTCAAAAACTTTACCTCTTTATAATATTAATATAGATATAGCCTATATATAGCCTTCCTCAATAAACGGGCTATCTAATGCAAAAAGAATTTTTCAAATCGGATTAGTAGTTCCTGAGATTAGCGCCTTCAAACAAATAAACAAACTCTGTCTCTTTATAATATTTGTATAGATTCTAATGACTATTCAGGTTTTAGAATCCCAGTGTCAAAATACTTGTAGATTTTATTAAAATATGAATTACTATTATTAAGAAGTGAAAACTATGCGTTAATGATGCCAAAATAAGCTAAAAAGTTGAAGTATAAAATATTACTATATAAAGCATATACACCTATTGTAATTTAATATCAATTTGCGATCAGATTTTCTCATTTCTATCGGTTTCTCGGTAACGAAAATTTTGGTAAGGTCCAATAATAATTTTGTTCCGCATTCCGATGTGAATTTCATTCACTGTCTGCAGCCGAATCGTCTAGACTGTGTGTCGGAGAAAGGTGACCATTCACCGACGAGACGGCCTGACTACATCGCCTCTGAGATATGGCCACTTAAATGGTTACCGTTAAACATCCAACTATATCCATGTGCTAGCAAGAAACGATATAATTTACCGCTACATAAAAATCAAATAATGAACATTACCCATGAATACAAATAACTTATTATTAAGCAAGTTGAAAGCAAATTTTGATTGAACGCACAATTGAGACTAGTTATCTATTAATCATTAGTATGTAAATGAGTTATGAGAAAAATATAAAATACAGTGAGGACTTTTTACACAACAAAATAACTTAAGATTGATTTCCATCCATTCAACTTTATTTAAAATATAATTCATGGTTGATCCAGTTGTAGATAAACACCTATATTATAATTTTGAGCGAAATCTCATGCATCACTTTCTCATTACAATGGTGAATGAAATACAGCAACAGAATTGCAGTCGTATTTCATTGCAATATTGGCAGTTACTTTGATTTACTTTGCCTTAACGAGGAGACAAGTAAACGGACCAATGGAAATGAGAAAACGTTTAAAACAAGTAAACTATAGCAGGTTACTTTCGAAACACGATATCATCTACATGACGCCCGTTGCACGAGCGTTTTGGTTTAATAGCAGCGCACCGTGAGGCCGACATCCGCATAGCAACAACTTTCTGTCGGTGAATGAAAGTTGATCGCGGGTATAAGCGCGGTTCGGGAACTGCCGTAAATATTTGGCACTCCTGTCCCATTTGGGAACGTTTTATGCTTTCAATTTATTTTGCGATACGCCTATACAATATTTAGTAGCCATAATTTTGGTTTCAACGACACAATTTTCTTCTTCTTCGGTTCGAGATATTGCAAATAAATGTTAATTATTATTTACTTCATAATTATTTTAATTTAATACCGTAAAACTTTCACATTCATAATAACTAGGTAATATTGATAAAAAATATCTTGTTTACATGTATGTTATAGTCTACTTTCAAAAATTATTGCGAAGTGAAACGATTTAAGATTTGGCTTACATTTCTAAATTAATAAAATTTCTTTTATTTGTTAAAACATCTATATCAATTGGTATAGCACATTATTAAGTGTACATTGACACTTTTTAAAATCTCGTGAACTGGACAAGATTATTGCTAATTCAATAAAATTTTTATGTATTCAAGATATGACATGTATTAATAACACATTTTTTATTAGATTTTAACAGCACGACATTCATGAACTACATTTTTTGTAAGTTGTAGTGCAAGTTTTTATTATTTAGAAAAAAAACATTGTGTAATCGCCGAATTCTTTCAAACACAGATCTGCTTGATCGGTCACAGTTTCCCAGAAACTGGATATCGAGAGCACAATCTTTGTTTTATTTAGATGGATCCGGCATAACTATCTTCAATGGAGTGCCAAGAGCGTGGGTAGTGAGAGAATCTGAGATATACCATCAAATAGTATCGCAGATGTACTTATCACATAATTAGGTAAATCTAGTTGACTGACGTTATTGCAGCGATAAAATAATCAATACTGGGTATATTTACGTATGTTTAAAACCTTACTTTTCCTTCTACACGGGAGAGTCCAATGGCACCTATAAATTTGTCTCTACGATGCGTACTGTATTACGGTTCCTGATCCCTACAGCCCGTATCGTAAATAAATAACAAGAAATGAAGTGATTTACTCAATTTACGGGTATTGTAGTCGTGATAAAGTATAATTGTATTCCAATTTAATATTGTCAGTCGTATATCGGGATGAGGGCCCAAAAGTTGTATTATCTAATAACAGCATCAATGCAAGCACCCATCTGCGAGGGTTGAACGTAGAATTAGGTTAGAGGTTAGGGAGGTCGACGCGCGTTAAGCAGTTTTGGGGTCGAGGCTACATGAAGCGATCAATTTAACACAAAATAAACTTCGCGTTATATCATAAAAATCATTAAAATTTGGCCTATTGGTTTTAATACTGTTTTATTTTTTATTTCGTAATTTTGAAATCAGAAAGACGATTTTTATATGTAATTTTATTTTTGCAATATATGTACATATTATTTCGTTCTTATAAAAATAAGTGTCTACTAGGAAACAAATATCTCAAAACATTTCTAGCAAAACTTTTCTGCAATATTAATTAGTCTTTAATAAACAATCTGTAACTCGACTCTAATTAAATGGCAGAGTAAATCAGGTCAAAGGGATGTAGGGCAGTACCCACAGGTAGGTCACAGAGGGCTGTGTGCATTCAACAATATAAATCCATGTACACACAGGATACTACCTGCAATCATGTCACTAGAGGTGACAGAATGGAAAACTCTATTATGTCTATTGCACTAAAGACCCATGTAACTTTAGACAAGTTTAGATGTAACAAGTTGAGGTGGAGTGGAACATCAAAAGGAAAGTGCTCTCTTAGATGTTAGCAGCACATAAATTATTATAATGAAGAATGGCATACAAGTTACTTTAGTTCAACTTATGAATAAAATATTATTTAGTAACAATATATATGTACCTACATAGATATACTTTCTGTCAAGTAATGATGTACAAAGTTATCACCACTAATAAATTAATTATTTGCATCATTGAAATATTCTATATCTACAATAGGTTTATATATTCGCAATATACCTTTTAATTTAAGTAAACAATTTTATATAGCAATTATAGTAATGTTTTGGTCCCTCACCCCAAAACAAAATAATTGAAACTCACTTTAACAAATGGCACATTAAGAATTTAAATAAGTTTAAAAACAGCAAAACCTGAAACTGAACTTTTCCATCATACTCGAGTCTATAAAAATGTAATACATTTGATGAAAGGATGCAATTCGGTTATAATTTTGATTTCTGTGACTAGAATTAAAATTATTTAAAGTATCAAAAGTTAAACACTAAACAACATATATGGTATATATTTTCTTAAGTAGGTTTTAGAAAGTAAAAATTTTGTTATTCTGTGACTTTGTATTAAATATTAGTAGTTAATAAACTATATTTATGGTACATGTAACAGTAAATACTCAATAACAAACTTATATACATAATATTATTGTTTAAAGCTTACATTTGTTTTTGGCATTCTCGTCCATGAGCATGTTGAAATGGTGGTGGCGGTTCCACGCTGCCATTTTGCCTTCGTGCGGAGCCCCGAGAAGCACCAGGGCCGCCCCAGCGGGCCCAACTCCGTCTAGGGGCTCCAGTGTCCTCAATGCACTACAACTTTGTCACACACTCATAACCCAAGAGGCATATCTAAACACACGTTCACTGGCTCAAAACGCCGTCGCCTCGGACGGCGATGTCATCGGCGCCAGCCCGCGCCGCACATGCCTTTGCACTTCCGCTCCACGCACTTAACGATGCACTCGCGGGTAAATAAGCACGATCAACACGGCACCGCGCGGTGATTCACCTTCGTTGCCCGCCGCGCTCCGCACTGCAGGCGGACTGTAGCGTGCGCCCGACGCCCGCGAACCCTACCAGACTGACACCCAAACACTCGTCCGTCGTCACGTGTGCGCTCACTGCGCTCAGACCACACCGATACCACCAACACTATCCTCCGCTCTTCGCACACCAAAACAATTACACCCGAGAAAAAAATCTATTTCGGTTTATGAAAATGAATGAATGCAACGGAATGAAACGCGACGGGAGGGAGCAAGACGGACGACACGATTTTCCTTCTTCGATCCGATCCTTAGAAGCTCGAATCGAACTCGCGAGCCGCGAACAAAATAATAACAAATGTGCATGAGATGCTTGTTAAAATTATTTGCACGTGGGTTGCGTCACAGGATCAAAGTTCCTTATTATCACTAAACTATACGAAATAATACTATTTCAAAGTCGTGACGGAATCTATCTGTTCACGGCAGTGCAATAGCAAGCTTGTGAACAATTTCAATTTTGATGAAATGCGAACTACACCATAATACACATAAGTATCAAAAGTAATTGATTAACTTCACATTATATTAGCGTAATTATAAAGTCATTAACTACACTATTTGTAAACAAAACACAGCCGTTGATACATTCAGTAAAAATAATAGTTTTCAACAGAAATCGCAAACGCGTTGATCAAGCGCGACAAGTAGGACAAAACATGGCAGACTCGTCGAAAAGCACACGAACTTTGTCTGTGGTCGTTTTTATTTTTAAATGCTGTAGCCTGTAGTTGCCAGTACGTTCCATTTTAAACTTTTATGAGAAATTTATATAATTTTCTTGTTTATTCGCTTATTATTAAGTTCTAGATTAGGCGTTAAATGTCCTAATAAACTGTTGCAAGAGATTATAGATTTATATAAAATATAAAAAATATTTAATTTGATTTCTAAAAATAACAATAATAATTTGCGTGAAACGTAATAGCACTAGCGTGTACCATAGACTAGCTAGATGATAATCTTTAAGAATATTGTCAGCAAAATGGTAGTTTTCTGCGATAGTTTAGTAGAAAATATTAATAAACGTTAAACATAGTCAAATAAGTTTAAATAGCTTTAAAACCACCCGTAAATATTGAAATTACTTTTATTTTATAATTTCTTAAATAATTCATTTGTAATATGGGTGCGAAAATTAATATTTTTTAATTGAAATGTACAAACAAACAAATAAAAATAAATAAATTGGTTCAATAATACACAGCGCCCTCTAGTTCCATGGTAAACTACGAGGTTTGTGTTAGGGGTACTAGATAGTTGATATACTGCACATATAACTTTTTAAATACATACATATTATAAATATAAACAGCCATGACTGGAGTATAAAATATATTCTTGCTCACACAAATAAATTCCCCCAGCGGGACTCGAACTTGCGACCGCTGGCACAGCAAGTAATGTAAAGTATTAAGTGATATTATTTTTTTAAATGTTACGTTCAAGATTATTATCTATGTACCCTTTATTAATTTATTATGCTATAGAAAGACTACTTACGAAATTTCACTTACAAAATTTACTTACTACTTTGCTTATTGCAATAAATCTTACCGTAATATATAAGTACTATATTCTTCGATCAACAATACTACTAGATAACGTGTCACATACAAAATCAAAGCTAAATTCTGTCCGCGCGAATATGCACTTATACAGCTTTATTTGTATACTAACGAACCAAGACAAAGTCATATAATACTTTAATTTCAACCTATAGCACCTTGTAATAAAGTCACAATTCTTCGAATTATCATCATACACTTACGATCATTTCGTAAGTTTTATAATATTTATTGTAAAATCAACCTTTTATCAAAAAACAAAGCACTTATTCCCGTTCTTGCTTTGTGAACTAAATCGTTATGTTTTGTTTGCTTCTTTGTATTGGCGCGTATATTGGCTGACCTGGGCCAGCGTTCTTAGCGGATTTAAAATTGTTCAAAATTTCATTTTTATATTATTTCGTGGTTAAATCTTAAAATATTGACTTAATCTACATGTATTTACCGAAAATAAGACACTACGTCTGAAAAATTTCTTCTTCGCGCATTACTTTTGCAACTTTTAAATATATATTGCAGCATTGTGAACGTGTTTACGTGTTGTTTCAATAGAACTAATCGAAATATACGCTCACTTTGTAAGTGAGCTGATGTTAACCGAGACGAATTTCTTACGCCAAACTGATATCTACTAGTATTGTTGATCGAAGACTATATTACAATTAAAATAATAATAAATCCAAACCTTTATGAAAGCATACATTATTGTTATTATATAGCTTATGTATATACAGATACAATCTACATATTATATACATATCTATAAATTGAATTGAATAAAAGTGAGTTACTGTTTTCGATGTGAAGCATCTATTGGCGTGCATTGGCAGTAAAACATGACGTGATGGCAAATAGTATGATATTCTGATACTTGTACGCTACCGCTCTCGACTCCTTTGTATGTGCATAACCTGCGTAACGTATCTATCCGACTAAGACTATAATATATTTGAAACGTTTGGCGCTTGAATACGGGCTTTGTATTTTTTAAATAATGATAATTTTCTTTTACAAAAATCTGAATATTTAGTTTTTAAATGTGTCATACTTACTGCCCTTAAAAACAATACTGTTTTGCATACTTTATATACCAAATAGTTTCTATGTTTCACATCTGCAAGGCGTGTGGCGACGGCTTTAGTTATTTTATTTTTAATATTTTGAGTTAGTAGGAAACTGCCTGGTTCCATCTACAAAAAAAATAGAATTATAATATGTATATCACATCATATTACAAGGCAGCAGTTGTTGTTGTTTATATTTTACAATTTAAAATGGTATGTATGGTGATTTTTTATTTCTCAAGTATAGCAACATTGTAATATTTTACTTCATTTGTATTCTGTGGTTAACTTCATGGCAATCATTGAAGATTGTGACGCCATTACAAATTATTTACAATAAAACTAATATATTACATCAAAATCAACGTAGTGTAAACGTTTGTTAGCTAAAACTAATTAAGTTGTATTAAAATATAGCTAATTAACATAGTAGGGTGAATACCAAAGTATAAAAACATATTTTTTGTTAACAATATGCCTAAGCGTGGTGGAAGAATAAGGACTTGGAAACCTAATGAACATTTTGGTAATTTCAGTTTTTTTACATATTATAATCGTCTTTTTTTTTTCAAGTTAGTAAGTATTGTATACATGTAGCTTCTTACAAATGTAAATTTGTAAAATTTAATGCGGAACTTGTGTAAAAATTAATAACGTGTCGAGTTTTTTTACTGTCCATGTGTCATTGTATAGACATTGCATAGAGCTTTTCTTTTTGTTTCTTAAAATAATTCAACTTAATCATATTTTATATTTTTGTATATAGAACATGACGACCGTACCCACAGTAACACCACTAGACGAGTTAGCTTCAAACCTGGCACTAACAAAGGAAAAAACAGATTTCGTACTTGGAATGATGCATCACAGCTTCTGCTCGATGGGGATATTGATATGGGAGCAACGGGTGGGCCAGGTGTTAATAGAAAAGGATTTAGAAATAGAGGAGGTCGTCTTAGCTCTCCAGCACCAAGACCTGTGTCGAAAAGAAGATTTATACCTGGACCTTTACCGTGGTATCAAATAGTAATACCATATGGCGCTAAACATGACAAACAAGTTGTTTTGCAAGCTCTTCTAGGCTTTTTATCGCCAGAAGTATTTATACCTCATTACTATAAAATAAATGGCAATGCAGCTGTATTTTATGTGGATGATGTTAAAGTAGCAGAACAACTATTTTATGCCGATAGGAAAATAGTTATGTCAGATGGGTTTAAATTGGTGGTAATTGTAAGGAATTCAGTACCAAATGTGGCTGTTGACGCAAGCATGAAGGAGAAAATGAAACTAGCAATGGCTAAAAGATATAATGCAACAACAAAAGCATTAGATTTAACAAAGTTTCATGCTGACCCAGGTAATTTCCCAAATTTATATGTAATTTGTATCATAAATAGTAATTTGTGAAATAATTAATTCATATTCATTTTTTAAGCTATAATAAGTGTATACATATTAATAATTTGTAATCTAATTTATACGTGTAATAATATTCTAACTGAGTCGAATCTGTACATTAAATCCCATTAAAACATAAATGTGAATATGGAAGCCAAGTTCAATATTAACATAAGTGTGGTTTTCTACTTCCCCGGCAAAACAATTGAGATCTAAATGGGTGCCAAGTTCTGTAGAAAATAGCCAAATTCAATATTAAGAATAAGCCTGGTTGTCTACTTCACCCGCAAAAGAATTGACACCTAAATGGGTGCTGAGTTCTATAGATAATCCTGATTTTTTTCTGAACATAAAGTATTCTAAAATAAATTTAAAACACAATTTCTTGTTTTTTTCTGCTACAAAAGTGTTTGCTATTTAAATTTAGAACTTTTTAAATTTGAACAGTCAAATTATTTACACAGAGTAGATAACTTAGGATAAATTGAAGTTCAAGATTGGACTTGTCTAGTTTTTACCACTAAAGCAAGTTTTTAGAAGAGTGACACATGTTGACCTTACAATATGAAAACAGTAGCTTGTATAACTCATAAAGAAATTATAAATAATTAGCCGAATATAAGATAATTTGTATGTAAAAACTAGCTGTCTTGTCTTGATATTTCTTGAAAATTTTTATTCGAATAGTCATTATCAATACAGAGGCCGAATCTATAGTTTTTTGAATTTTTGTCTGTCTGTGACCACATCATGAGAAAACCGGGACTGACTTTGTATTGTAATGGGACAGATTTTGTCAGTTGGTACATATAGGATACTTTTTACTGCAGGAAAATATCTCATCTCTGAGAAACTATACTAAACATTAAAACGTAACTAGAGACGAATCCGAGTGGAGCGAGGGTGTCACTAGTATAAATATTTAAACCTTTTAGATTACTATTTTGATTTGAATAATGATAGTTCTTAATAGGGTACTCACAGAGTTTTTAAGTAGGGTTTCATTATAGTAAAATATAGGTTTGACTTGTAATAAATTTTGTTTCAGAACTTACTGACATATTCTGTGCCTTATTTCGTCCGATAATCATGCTAGCAGCAATTGATATAATAGCAGAAAATATTCCTGACTTGGAAGCTTTGAATTTGAATGATAACAAGTTACATGGAATAGAACACTTGAAAATATTATGCAGCAAGTTTAAGAACCTAAAAATTTTGTATTTGGGAGACAATAGGGTAATTAATATATAATATTTGATTTTGTGAATTTTTTAAAGTAGAAACAACATAAAGACAGAAATAATTTAAATATTTTCACATGAAGTTAACTTCAATAAAATTTGTGTTAAAATATTTAGAAATATTTCTTTCGCAGATACCATTCTTAGGTTCACTGGACCCATTGAAACCACTACCACTGGTGGAGCTTTACCTCAAAGGAAATCCATTGATGAAAAAATTTAACGACCATGATATTTATGTCAGGTAATATTATTTCAGAAGTTGATTAAGTTCAAATCTGGGATTCAATTTCTTAATTTGAAACAATTTGCGAGTTTGAATACCGCATACATGGAATTGTCTTGGTCATGCAATGTGATTACGGCCAATAATAATATCATTCAAGTTTGACATTGGGAACAACATAAAAAATAGTTTTGTGAAATATTATTATTCTTAATCTATGCTTCAAGTTGTTAAACATTGTGGGTATAAAATAATATTTAATTAACTATGAAAATTGTGGCTTTTACATAATACACAATTTATCATTCCATTAATTTTACCATATATTTAATCCACAATATTAAACTAAAATGTTAACTTTCATTACAATTCTCACAAACAAAGAAGAGAGAAATACATAATATATTTAGATTAAAAAGAGAATTCAAATAATAAAATTTACAATAAAAACAAATAAGAACTAAGAGACAAGATAATCTATATTATTCTTCTGAAAGGTAGATCATTTCTCTCTTTTTAATTAAAATATGTGCGATAATTTCGCAGTATTTTTATATTTGAATTAAACATAATTTGGTACTTACGGCTGTAGATTGGCGGCATTTAAAACACGCCAAATCTGTAGCTGCGGTGACTTAAAATATATTTTTTGAATATTCCAATAAAGGCTAATATCCTTAAAATAATACGCCACCGCAGCTACAGATTTGACGGGTTTTAAGTGTCGCCAATCTACACCGGTGGCGTTAATACGTAAGTACTCATAATTTTGGTTATTAATACGAATCAGTAACCCTATAAATTCTATGTGATATTAGGAATCCTATTATCTCATAAACTGATGATAACTACGAAATTGTTGTGCAACCCTGTATGAATCATAGGTAAATAATAAATGTATACATTAGAAATGTTTAGACTCTGTTATATTGACACATGTTATTTTTTGTGTTGTCAGTTTTCCTTATATTTAAAATTATTACAGATTCATAAGCATTAATATTATTTTATAGAGTTGACTATTAACCTTTAAATTTACACATATTATGTGTATGTAATTATACACATTGTTTTTTTAATGGGTTTTAATTTAACAATTGTGTCATAATATTTTAAATTTTTTAAATAACAAATATCTATATTGAGTCATTTAAGGGTTAATTAGCAAAGCACTTTTTTTTTGTACCACAAATGCATTGCTGTAATATATTATTGACTTAGTTAATGTATGTTATATATTATATAGTAATAATAATTAATAAGAATAAAAAAAGATTTATGCAATTATTTGATATGAAACTCATATTTTCAAATTTTGTCGTGGATTTATTCTATCTCTTAAGAATCTATCTTTTTGGATTTCGGGACACGGATGAGACTAGTTTCTCTACAATAAAGCCGCGACAAAATCCGTAAAGATAGTTTCATTTGAAATACATATGTATTTTACAATAATGATTTTAAAGAATTGTATTACAATGTTTTTGTTCTGATTAGTTATTATTACTGATTAAAAAAACGTGTGTGTGTACTTATGTACGCACGTAAGAAGTTATACTTCTTTGGCGTAACAGAACATTACAACAGACAAAAATTTTACTCTCTTAATTTTTTCCAAATGTGCCAAAAGGAGTATAACTTCAAAAAAATGTTCAATGTTTCATAGAACTTCGTATAAAAATATTTAGCCATGAACGTCTATATTATATTTGTTAACATAACTATTTAAACAAATTACATTTCGATATGAAATGATTTTGATGAAAATAGCATAGATAATTTACATTGAATTGACGGTTTTTAACACGATAGTACCTATTCATAGTAAAGTTTCTTTGACATTTAACAATTTGAGGGTAGTTTTTCAAATGAATTAGGTACTGTCCGTGTAATGTATATGTGTTATTAATGATTTTCAAGAGTTTCAGACTTCTTTACATCTTTTGCCATGTTTGTATGTCCAGCGACGTGCGGAAGAAATTTCCCAAATTGGCGAGATTGGTGAGTGATAAAAGGGATATAATGTTTTATATGTATAAATATTTTTATTATTATAAATTACATTCAAAAAAATTAGAACAGTAATACATGCTTAGCTAGTCTGATATTCATATATGGGTAGTAATAACATTTTTTTTAGAACTGTTCTAACTTAGCGCAAAATTTAAAAAATATATATATATATTATATAGAGCATAGTTAGGGTCCTTTATAGAAAAAAACGTGGTAGTGTCTTTTAAAATATGTGTCATTTTTATTTTTAATTTGTGATATTTCGATATATGAATCACTGCAAAGACTTCAAATTATCTTATTTAATGTCTTTTGAGTGTTTAACGTTTGCAGAAAAGATCACAAAAAAATAATTATGTGGTAAGAGAAAAAAAAGTGTTTTTTTTTTTAAATTCAACTATGTAACATGTTTTATTTGAAAAACTAGTGTGTGCAGAGGAGGGATAGCTTAGGGAAATGTTTCTCTTCAGAAGGTGATTCCGTGGTAAAAATATCAACCTAACTTTACCGAGGGGCATCTGACCCATGCTTACCCTACTTATACTCTTTGTATGAAACTACCTTTTTAAATATTTTTATTTGTAGTTTTAGCACGAGCTAAGCCGTGGGTTCTGCTAGTATTTATATATTTATAACATATATTATTCTACAATAGGACGGCGCGGACCTACCTCCAGCGATAGGATTCGACGTGTCCCTACTTTTACTCTTTGTTTGAAACTACCTTTTTAAATATTTTTATTTGTAGTTTTAGCACGAGCTAAGCCGTGGGTTCTGCTAGTATTTATATATTTATAACATATATTATTCTACAATAGGACGGCGCGGACCTACCTCCAGCGATAGGATTCGACGTGTCAGAAGATTTACAGTTACCACCAAGTCAGCAATCATTCCTAATAGATCCAGCTGGCCAGAACTTGGTCAGGGATTTCTTAACTCAATACTTCGCAATATACGACTCTGAGTCCCGGCAACCATTGCTGGAAGCCTACCATGAAACCGCTACCATGTCCATGGCAGCGAATTACTTGACCAACGATGGTAGAAACTCGCCTACTACTAGGTTAGTATAATAATATAGGATGTTATGATATTCTTATACATGACATTGCTACAGCTTCTTTACGCTCATTAACGATGAAAAAAATATGTTATATTGCTTTCTTAATAAAGAAAAGGTTATTAAAAAAAACACTATTTCTATTTAAATTTTTGACGACACGTTTGACTCAGTTTGTAGTGACTATACTTGCTGTGCCAGCGGTCGCGGGTACGAGTCCCGCTGGTGGCATTCATTTGTGTGATGAGGACGAATGTTTGTACTCCAGTAGCATATATATGTATTTAAAGTTATATATGTGTAGTATATCAACTATAAGCTAAAAGCAATTTAATGTATTTTCCTATAAAGAGGTTTTTGAATTAAGTGAAATATTGAAAAAATAATAATAATATGTACGTATTTTTCACAGACTGAACGCGTATATTTCAAATAGTCGAAATATTGCGAGGATAACTGAAAGAGAATCTCGCAGAAGATATTTGCGTACAGGAAGGCTACAAGTTGTATCATTCCTCTCAGACTTGCCGAAGACTAAACATGACTTGATGGGTTTTGCCGTTGACTTACTTGTTTTTACGGTTTGTTTATTTATATTCTTGAATCATTTTATAAATATATGAATAAGTAGCGACTAAAATTCGTTTTACTCGGGTGCAACTCTAGGTATGCTTTAAATAGATAAAAATAGTTATTCTGAGTGTACCTTAGGTGAAAAACACATGCTGTCACTGATTTTTCTGTAGGCTTCTTTATGAAGAATGTTTCAAACTAGTTGGGAGGCATTTCTAAGAAAATGTTGCAAATGGTCACCAAATTTGAAGCGCTAAGAATTGACTTTATTTTTGATGGTGTGTAATAAATGCTATGCTGGCAGTCTTATAAATCATCTAATTATTACCCAAGTATTATATATAAAAATCAGCTTTTATACTATAACGTAAGTAGAATTATGATTTCATGAAAAGGGTTTCTGGCAAGGGTTTGCATGTTAAGTGTCTGGCATTGAATGACGTGATTTTTAATAATATTCTGAAGGTAACACCAAAAAATCACACTTTATTATTTGACGAATTTAGATCGGTTTTTACACGCCTTTAGTACCGTGTACCTGCCACAGCCACCATAGCCTGAACTTCATAACGGTCCATCCTTCTTATCTGTGTTGGGAGCATGCGCTGACAAACTTTCAGCCTTTATAAAATGACGAACGTCTGGCGTTCACGGGCTCTACCTCTACTACAATTGTTTAGTACATTGTTTTGATGTATGTTTAACCTTTCAAAGCACGCGGAGCCACAGGTGGCTTGGTTAACAATTAATTTCTTAGGATTTAACCGCGAGGTGTTAAGGTTTAGCCAGCGTTAGCCATGTAAGTGTATGAAAACAGTTTAAAAATACTCTTTTAAATACATTCGCCTGTAATACACATGCGCCACTTGTTATAAGTTTATTTTATTGTACTATGCCTATAACCTATGCGTAAGTGCTAAGCAATAAGTTGAAAAACTTTTATCGTAATCGGATGCACGGGAGGGCGGTGCATGAAATACGAACAAACGCATAAACAAACATTGATTTTAAATATCAAATTAGATAAGTACCTAATATTTTTTTCAATAATAGTAGTACATATCAGATGTTATGGAGCCAACATATAATAAAAAACCTACATAGTTAAATTATATTTTTCTGACACTGTAACCTTAATTATTTATAATCTCTTACATATAATTCTATATACATTGTTTATATATAACATCATAATAATAAATTATATATTTTCTTGTTCAACAGCCTGCAATGATAGTTCTCACAATGAATGGAGTTTTCAAAGAAACAGTGACAGCTGGCAACCCTACGCGATCATTCCACAGAACATTCGTCATAGTGCCCAACAGTGTGGGTGGCTTCTCTATTACAAATGACATGCTTTTTATCACCAACACAACTAGGGAACAGGTGAGATATAAATATGAAATAATAATATTGATATCTAGCGACTCACCTTCGCTTCGCTAGGGTTTGTCCCTAGCTTGCTTACCAATACAAACTTTCATCTCCATTTTCACCCCCTTAAGGGATGATTTCCGGGATAAAAAGTATTCTATGTCCTTCCCAGAGTCTCAAACTATCTTACCAAATTTCATCTACACTGGTTCAGTAGATCCAGAGAATATAATATTATTCAACCACGGCGCGGTGGCCAATCTTACTCAACAGCCTGATGCACAGGAGATAGTGCAGCACGTGTATGCGCAAATACAATATGGACTCTACTCCTTTGACTCTCAATCTCTGATGGGATGATACTTCAAAGCACTTGGTGTGAGTTAAGGACTGACAGCTTTGCTCTCCGAGGTACGGGGGTGCAACATCGCCATCTTTGATACTCCGAGCTAGTACTGAGAATATCTTAAAAAAAAACTCAATAATTAAACTTGGCCCGACCCGGGACTCGAACTCGGGACCTCTGGATCTGCAACCGTACATGCTAACCACTAGATTACTGGGGCAGTTTTATTGATATGATGGTGATGATGAATATTTAAATAATAAATGTTTGTGGTATTATAGAACTTACCAATTGGATTTGAAATTAATTACTATGAAGTTATTAAAAATGTAGTTTGAGCTCTACATGATATAAAAGCATTAAGCAGGCGTTTATAATGGACGGTATAAATTATACGTATATTATACTATACAAGCCACTCATCCTGGCCTCGCTCCGCTCGGGTTCTTCCCTATGTTTTAACGGTTAGTATAAATTTCTCAGAGATGAGACATTTTGACTATCATCATACCAAATATCAATAAAATCTATCCAGTGTTATTCACGTGATACGTTCGCAGACAGACAGACAGAACCGAATCTACAGATTCGACTCGGTTAGACTTTTATTATATGTGTAGATTATAAGCTATGGCCCATTGTTGTTTTAAACCCAAATTCAATTAAATCAATTACAATACCAATTTTCATTGCGCATAATTTCGGAGTTATAGCAATCTCGTGGCAAAATATTACGATTATAAATGTTAACCCTAAACCCGTTTCTCCAATTGCTATATAAAAGCAAGTATGACGTCGGGTGTGCCTCAACCGAGTCTCACCTCGCACGATTGTCTTTGTCTAGACGCCTTTGTAAAAAAGTAGAACTAGGCCAAATAAAATATTATCAATTGAAAATAAACCCAATGACAACAATAAATAAAACAAACTGTAAGCATTATAGTCTTCATTTTTAACCCCGACTCAAAAACGACGGGGTGTTATAAGTTTGACGTGTCTGTGTATGTGTCTGTCTGTGGCATCGTAGCTCCCGAACGGATGAATCGATTTTGATTTTTTTTGTTTGAAAGGTGAATTAGTCGAGAGTGCTCTTAGCTGTTTGATGAAAATCGATCCAAGATGGTCGGGGTTTTTTTTTTAAATTTATCATTCTTTATTTACAGGAAGACAAGTCGTTTTCTTCACAAGATGGTGTGGCGAACCCCACGCCCACGCCCACGCCCACCCCCGCGCCGGCCCCACTCCACGACGACAACCAGCGCGCTATGCTCGCCATGCTGTCTCAGCAGACCGGCATGAATGACCATTGGACTGTGAAGTGAGTTATGTTTTTTTAGAATAGACTACATAATTTTTACTGAATTTTTTAAAATGAATATACAAACACTACAAATTTTTTGTTTATGCCTTTTTTTTATCTTTTTTGAAGTGAAAACTTCTATAGACAGGTTTGAATGGGGAGTAAATTCATGTAAGTCGTCATAGATATGTCACGTGACGTGATAAATATGAACAGTTTTAATTTACAAATTATAATTTAATATCAAACAATTAATTTGAATATCTAAAAATAACAACTGTTTGTTTATAGTTTTAAGTTTTCACTTCTGTCAGTAGTCCTCATGACTGCTTTTCTTTCTTTGTTGCGGCTAAGTATCACTTCGACCTTTTCTCTTCTATTGTTAACTTTTTTGGGTTTTGGTTCTTGTTTGTATTTTTCAGGTTTTGGTTTTATTTTGTCTTTTTCTTTTGAGTTTTGGTATTGTTCTTGTATTTAAAATTTTGAAAAGTTCGATTTTGAAAGCAGACCGGCATGAATGGCCGTTGAACTGTTAAGTGATTTAGTTTTGGAGAATATAATAGCTATTTTGGATAACTTGGTTTTGCTACAAGCGATGTCGGTCATAGAAAAGTAGAAATATATGGAAATTATATAATAAGGATTAATTTGCCATGCAATTTTCAGTAGGTTTAAGCGGTCAGCAGGTCTTTATTATTATTATAAGTTGTAATTATTCAACATTTAGATAATTTTAAAATAAAAAAAAGGATTTAGAACATTTAAAAAAAACTCTCAAATATTTATTCTGTGTTCTTTATTTACAGTTGCTTGCAAGAAACTGGTTGGGATTATCAACGAGCGTTATTCATCTTTAACCAACTTCAGTCAGAAGGAAAAATACCCCCAGAAGCCTTTGTGAAGTGAATTGATTAGTCCAAAGACAACTAAAGGTTGTGCCTCTTTTAATGAGAATATAAGAAAATAAGAAGAATTGCGTGTAAGAAGATGAAAATAAAAAGAAACTTAAAAAAACACATATTCATAGGAAATAAAAAATATATAATAAAATTGCCAAAAAAATTACTGGCTAATATTGAAGTAGATAATATGTAGATAGCACATTTAAATACATGTTTGTTTGTAAATATTATTTACTAAAACATACGACATATTTTTTGTGTTGGATGTACACATAAATAAAAATGAAAAGCTAAGGTTGGTTTTCTGTTGAACTTTAAAGAGTAAATATTTTACTTAAATCAGATTCTTATAATCATATTGTGTCACAAAATTTTGATTCAAGTTGACATATTATATGTGTATACCCAAAATTCATTATGCAATGAAAAAACACATTATTGCCTATGTTAAGAAAGTATTTATTAAATTAAATAAGTATTAGTCATAGAAATCAATTGCAGTCAATCGTAACGAATGCTCAAGTTGTTTTAATTACACTATTTGTTACTGTTACTTTTCTAAATTATAAACATATCAAAACTTACAGATGAGTTCATTACAAACTGTTACAACTTTTTTTTTGCTTTTTTTTGGATCTGCAGTTTTTGATATGAAATTCTCCGCTATTGTTATTTTCTAAAAGAAGCCAATATCTGATATTTGTTACATTTATTTATGTATTCGTTATATACGTCCACTATAATTGTTTGTATTCAGTCCTTTTTAACGTTCCACTGCTGGGCACGGCCCTCCCTTCAGTACGAGGGGTATCAGGCCATAGTCCACCACGCTGCCCAAGTGCGGGTTGGTGGACAATAATTGTTTCAACCCTGTAATAATAATATTATTTATGTACTACTACTGTCAGTTTAATAAGAGTATCTATTGTGATGTATATATTAATAAATTACTGTAAATAATATTTTTGAATATTTAATCTGTTGGTCAGATTTTCTGATCATATCGTATTTTCTATATGTAAAGTTAAATTTAAGATGATAAACTGTAAAATTAACTGAATTTCTATATCGTACTTGTGTATGATCTTATTATTATGTAAAAAAATATTCTTGGATTTGACTTAAGAAATGTAAAACTCGAATTTCGTTTCAGAAATGTATTGTAAGTTGTTAAACGTTAATTAGTTACGGGGTCTGGGAAAATGGCGCAGGTTGGCTTAAAGGCGACTTTTCTCATAAATGGCCGGTTTTTTGGATTCGTTGACATGTTTGACACTGGGTTTATAGAACCTTATGGTATTTATATGGAGTAGGCACTCCCTATGAATATGGCGGCGGAACCCCTTGGTTTTTCCATGTGGGCTAGCCGTGTTGTGATCTATGGGTTATGCCATGGTGTCGTCACGAGTCTATGACTACGGCATGGGAATGCTTTGACCCTTGCGCCTAGAAAAAGTGAGCTTAGGGATTATGTTTTATGATTACGAGTTAGAAAAATAAAGTCTTACTTTGGAAATTTGTTTTTGTTTTTTTATTATATTGATTCCTTTTGTATTATTAAAAATCTAAACTGATCATTCTTAAGTAACTAAAGAAAGTTGATTGTCTGATAGTATTGTCTATTACAATAGAGTTTACGAATTATTATTAAAATATTTCTGTTGGTCTTGCAAAGTGTTTTTGCAAGTGTCTAGTCATGGTGAAGCAGATTGATAGAAACTATCACCCACTTAGCATAGTATTCTCTACGTAATGTGAAAAATGGACAAGGAAATGTGTTGACTCTCGTTAACTCTCGATAAGTAGCCAGATGACATCTGTCTATTATGGTACATTATGGTGTTCGATGGGTATTGTCGGAGCTCGTGGGTTTGATTATTGCATATTTTGATAATGAATCAAAGGAATTGATAAGGATCTATATACATACATATGTATGTCACTAAGTGTATTTGTACGCTTATGCTGCAAGGCCAGTGTGAAAAACAAGTCTTAATCCTGTAACAGTTAAACTCACTTTGTTAAATCTGTTTATATCTATATACATATGAGATATAATATATAATAAGTATGTTTATACACAAGAGTGTTTATTGCTTGTTTCCGTGTCGGCGACAATGTGTTTTTGGTTTAGGTATGAAAATGGACCTATACTTTGTATGGAGGACGTCACTTAAAATTACAAACTATAAATAAACATCTTGTCAGTTGCCGACATTAGTTATTTAAAATTTGTAATTTTGATTTTATGTAGAAATACTTTTTTTTTTTAGTTTCGTTGAAGTAATAAATGCGTTGATTTATATAATATTGTGTTGTAAAATCACAGGTAAAATATTTTATTATAATTATTAATTATCTAAAATATTTGGCATGAATATTTATTCAAAAAATTCGTTGCAACTTTAGTAGCGTAGGTTTAAACTATAAATCATAAGTTTGTAAAGATTTCTAAACATACTTATCTCATAATTGCGTTATTGCTGACATGTGGGTTCTCTCAGACATGCAGGTTTCTTCACGATGCTTGCCTTCACTGTAACACAAGTGATAATCATGTTGGAAATGATTCGCACATAAAAATATCAGAGGTGCGAGACCTGGGATTTGAACTCGCTTGACTTGGTTACCCAAGCCAGCGCGACTCGCGTTTCAATGTTACTTTTCCCTTAGGGTATAAATGGGGTGATATCCTTCTATTTATTTTACTTAAATGTGTAGTTCCTTAGTTAGGAAGTGTTAGTTAGCCTATTATGTACCTAAAAAGTATTTAATTTGTGATACAGACCGTCTAACAGGATGAAACTGGAAAGTTTTTGCTATCGCCATTTGACTCAATATCATAATTATCCTATGAACCGTAAGAAGAGTTCATTTGTTATATATATTTCTGTTTTAACGAACAGCTAGACGAACTAGACGAACTTCAATGAGAGTAGTTTCCACACTCTTAAAATGATATACTATTATAGTTGCGAAAGTTTGTATGTATATGCGTATATATGCGTATTGAGTGCGTGTGTGTGTATGCGTGTTTGCAAGCTTTGAGCAAAACAACTTGAGCTCACGCGGTAGAGCCTATGCATTGGGCATTAGCAAATAATTGCATTTAGTTAGATTGACTGTGCCCACAACATCGATAGTTACGGTATTGTTAGCTCTTCATAAATAAATGAGTAGGTCAAGTCCAATTTTACTGATAAGAACTGCCTGACCTGAATTCCAACCATATTTAAACTGTTTAAAAATACGTAATATAAGTATGCAATATACAACGATTCCAGTGTGATTAAATTAGCTTGAATCAGCGCAATTAAATTTAATTAAAGATAAATCGGTTAGTGATTATTGTAATAAAGTGAAATATAAAATTGTCAAATGGTTTTTTTATTATAAATTGCATTAAGAATAACTGATGTGACACCAAATTCATCCTCACTACGTCCTCTTAAAATAATACAAAAAAGAACCATCTAGGTATCTAACCCGCGATAATCTTGCGTATTCCAGGGTAAAATTTACGATGGGAAATTGCTTAATTTTATCTTTTACTCCGTGAAAACATCGCATCTTTCTTGAAATATAGTAGGTATTACGATTTGTGATAAAAATGCTCTCCTCGCCTAAATTCCTTGTTCGCCGGTTAAGATCTAATCCTGGTATAATAATTGTAATTGTAATTGGTAGTAATTTTAATTGTAATTTAAAAAAATAACTAGAATATACTACATTTTATGCTTACTACATATATCACTCTCATTCGATAACTTTACCCTTCAATGAAAGTCTCGTTAAAATCGGTTCATTTCTAAAAATTAATATTTTCCTATAATTAGATAGTGAGACCGACGGACAAAAAAATAAATAGATTTTTCGTATGTTGAGATTCTGCAGGGACTGATGTAAGTCAAATATGGGATAGCTATGAATTAATTTACTTTTCAGCAAATAGTAAAAAAAAGTCATTTTAGATTAAGATTATTCAGTTAGGAAGTGTTAGTCAGTTCTTCTTTTAAACATCTAAATATTAAACATGTATATATTTAACAATTAACTACAAAGTATATGAAATATTATTTACATACCTAAGCAAACAAAATTTTCTCAGATACAATGATACCATTAAGATTTACTGGAAGTCCCTGATGAAAATATTCCGAGTTGCGCACGCGGCTTGTTGACTAATGATAACTGTTCGAAGAAGATGACATAGATAATATGGAATTTTACGTGTAATTGTGACATCGTTTAGTTCAGTATTAGGTCAATCTTTGTACTGCTCTAGATCGTAAGGTCTTGGGTTCGAATCTGAGCAAATCGGGGTTACAGAGATCATGTCAGTAGCAGTAGCAAAGCTTCGAAAGAGTCGAATCGAACTCCATCGGACTAGGATAATGAAGATATAGGGATCATGCCTGTCTTTTCTTATAAATTTTACATACTTAAGTGAAAATTGTGATAGTATACGAAAGTATTGCGAACAAAATTACATACTTACACATTCATTTATTTTTAAAATGCAATATAATGTAAGATGTGTTCCATTCAATACGAAGCATAAATATCTGACAGCGGAATTGTTGTTATTTTACTTCGATGAAACATGCCACTCTAAATGATTTCTGTAGGCATTTTGTTAGTCTTAAGATTTTTACGAGAATAAAGCTGCGATGGAAAGTCTGTACTTGATAGAAGTACATTCTTCTTATCGTGAATGGCCGCAATTATGCTCTTTTATAAAAAGGACTTATACGCTTATGTTCTATGTCTAGGCCATTAAATATGGCTGCTTTTTAGTTTTTATACAAATAAAAGTCTAAAATTAGAATTGATTTATTTTAATAGTAAGTTTGTAAGTGAAGAATTTAAATCTAAGTTAATAGAAACTGAAAGTAGCCTATCTTATCCACTATCCTTGCCATATCATGGATCATCCATACAGATAAATAAAATTAAAGTGTCTGTTTAGTGTTTGTAATGTCAAAATAACAGCTTTTTAAT